AATAAGAATTGGAATATCTATATTTAATCGGAATTACCTTTTTATCGAGGAGTAATTGCACAACAGCTGCTTCACAAAATTGGTTATAATCTGGTTCAATAATCTTTTAAGATGTGTATTTTTAATAAATTAATAAGTAAATTGCTGGGTAAGAATGGTCAAAATTGTATCATTAAGGATCTTACAGGTCCTACTACAATTTTTAAGCCATTAATAGATTTTCCTTCTTCATAAGGAATTTTGCAAGACAAAAAATTGGCATTTTGTTTTTGAATCTCAACCGGAGTTAATAGTTGCTGATTTGAAAGGTCATTTGGAGGAGTACTCGTATGCATAGAATGAGAAGAAGAAATATGAGGTGTTGAATGATAACTATTATGGCCATAATAGTTTTGTTGGTATTGAGCTGATCTTTGATGTTGCTGGGATTGTAAAGGAGGACATGCTTCAAGTGTAGGACGAGGAATTGGGGAGACTAATGGAGTATTGCGATACTCGGGATCTTCGTCTTGTCATTTTTTAACAGAATGAGGAAAATTATTAGGCAAAATTACGATTAAGTTAGTATTTATCGGTATATACGTTACAACTTACCAGTATATGGGTCGTGGTTCATAGTTTGAATATAAAGTAAGTATGGCGCTTGAATACAATTGCAAATCAGGGTTTTTATTTAATTGTGAAACACAAATAAAAAAGGAAATTTTCAGGAAGATTAAAAGGTGAGACTTTCCCAAATATGGAAATGATTCCTATCTGGTTACACATGATTTTCAACCAATAATATCGTGAATTTTAGAAATCGACCAATCAGATTGCAAAAAAGAAGTTGTGGGGTTAAGAGAATATATTATAAAGCGAAATGAAAGCCTTAATCATCCATTATATTTACTGAAAGTTAAGCTACTTGAGCTTTAGAAAAATTATTCCATTTGGGACGGTCTCGCCTATTCGTTTTCGGAGACGACCCGAAAGATAACATTATACTTTCGTAACTTTTGTATGACTTTCCAAACAGCATTTTTCATAACGATATTGTTTTACAGGAATTTGCCGATAACTAAAGATCATTTATTAGTAAGGATTTATAACACAGATAACACAGGTGTTAAGATATTTCTTCGTTAGTTCGTTGTTCAATGGCTTCCGCAAATCGGATGATTCTTACTTTATTTACTTCTAAGTCATGTTCTCTTTGTATTGATGCAAAATACACGATCGATCAAGTGAGAAGAAAGGTAGTTGTTTTAGATTTATATTATTGAATAAAATTTTTTTTAATATTTATTATTCATTTTATTATACATTACAGATCCCATTTGATTTAATTCAAAAAGATATCAAACTTTCAGAAAATTCGGTTTGGTTTCATAAATACAAATATGATATTCCAGTACTCCACTTAAATGATCAATTCCTATTCAAACATAAAGTAAAGCAGGATAAATTAGAGTTAGTACTCAAAAGATTTCAAGAAACTGGTAAAATTTCTTCTGAGTTTGTTGATGAAGAAGTTAAGACCGATTAGTCCGACAATATTTATTTTTTTGAATTGCAACCTTCATATAAGTGTTGCAGAGTAGAAATTTGTTAATAAGCACAGGACATGTTCTTGGTGTGATTACTTATAGATCAAATGAGATGACTTATTATAATTTTATATAAAAAAGTTGTATTTTTTTAATTGAAAATTTATTAGGTTACACATAGTGTTTATACACAGGTACTAATTTATTTTAATTGTGATATACAAATTTATGTAAAAAATATAAATTATATAAGACAAAAATTAACACCATTTATCGTGCAAACTCTTACGATAGATTTTTTTCTTGCTATTTTTTGTACGTTATTACATAACAATCTTGAATTAAAACTCAGTTAGCTAACGACTCGTAAATCATGATTATAATTGCACGATAACATCGACATTGGATCGCGCCCATTGAATTATAGATGCAGACATATGCTAGTGCCGTAACTGATAACGTCATTGGACGTAACTTAAAGACGTGACGATACGTCAAAATGCACTTCAATATCGGAAAGCTATAATAACACAGATACTCCGATATGTGAATAATTAGTAGAACCAATCAAAAGTGGTGGGGAAATTAGTAAATTCATATTCAACTTATGCCCGGACTCGTGCCGTGACATTTGGCTTGTGTCACAATTGGGCTGGAGCAGTGGGAAACGGAGTGGAAGACCTTCGAGTCGTATTCAATAGTACTTTTTCATATAATAAGTTATAAAAATTGGAGAAAGGTACATGTTAATAATAGAGATTAGCTGGAGAACAGTGATTACTTTTTTATAACTTTATGAATGAAATATTTGCTTTTCTTTGTGACTTTATGAATTATTTATGTTTGTTTGTATGCAATTTAATTTAACTTATAATAATGAATTAGATTTTTATTATATGATATTAGATAAGCTGCAGTACTACAATTTTTTTTAAAAAATTTTGAACTTAATGATTAATGGGATCAATGGTCTAGCCCTATAAAACACGCAATTTATTACCAGTATTTCATGTGTTATATCATTTTTATATATAAATAATGCATATAATAACATCGAGTTTAATAAAACACACCAGTGATGTTAACACCACAATTGTTATATCTCAAAAAACTAAGAAACTGATTAAGTAAAATGATTGGAACCCCAAAACTTTATGCTAACCAAATTTGAACCTTTATATTCGACCCCTTTTTAGTTAACCATTCTAACCCTAAATTCTAATCTAACTATTACAAAAAAGCATCCCAAAAATTATAAAATTTTATATCAAAGTAGGCCCCAATATTCAGCATCAGCCTGATTCTGACAATAATTATTACGTTACAATAATATTTTGCATAAATAATCATTATCTGATCCCTATATAAAAATAGGGACTGTTAAGTGACTTTTGGAACACCCGGTATATGGTGTTGAACACCACTAGTATGCTTTAGTATTCTAACAATATATATGTGTACTAAAATAATTATAAAAATTGTTTATTTTTTCCAGTATCATTAACATATAACCGTTCTAGTACAAACCAAATATCTAAATCCAAGTACCTAATTTAATAAACAATACCAGTATATTAAAAAAAAATTGAACTGTTCTTTGCTATTGGTTTTTATAACTGCTTTTGTTTTAATTACAGAATTAGCCATAATACAATGCTATACCACTATAAATATACCGGGTGTTGATAAGGATCTTTTTTATGTCTCCGCTAGTATTAGTTTTTATTATATAAAAATTTATAACGATTACTAATTATGCATTACGCATTTTATAATATTTTAATGATTAAAAAAAAGGTCCTGTTTAGGGACTTATCAAACACCCGGTATATATATATTTGCATTAATAAAGCAATTATATTATACAAGTTTCTATTAATATTACTAAAATAATATCTATTATATTGATTTAAACTTAAATATATTATGATTTGTTTTTTTGCCCTACTTTATGACCAATTGGTAATAGAGTAAATCTAGCAGCCTGTGGTGCCACAGCCAATATGTTATGATAATCCTGTAATGCAACTCCCTTACGGCGTCTATATTTATTATTCATCACAAATGTCAAAATCAATCTAGATCTTCACACAAAAAAAAAAAAAACCAGGAGGAACCGTCAATGTTGCACAACTAATCCGACTATTATACGAATGCCGCCAAGGGAAAACCAGTAATTGTTAGTTTTCCGAAATTTCATTTTCCGCAACGACTTATAAGAATCTGATATTGCCTGTTTCTAAAAGTGAAATTTCCGAAAATCAGGAATTACTGGTTTTACCTTGGCGGACCTCATATTTATAACATTGACGGTAGAGTGATCCAATATTGTAAAATAATTTTTTTATGAACCACACACCAGTGAGAGACTAGTTATGCAACATTGGTAGTTCCCCTGTTAAAAAAAAACAATACTTACATATCAGTAATCTTTGGATTCAATTGAATTAAAAGTCCTAACATAATTGAACTCCTAGTATAATGCCTCTCAACATTCTTATCAAGAAATGGCTTAAATATTTCGAAATCTATTGGATCAATCTTATTGTAAAAAAAATTAAATATTAAATTATGCAATTCAAAAGAAGAATTAAATAAGATGATAAAAAATCTATACTTTATGTCTAATTGCTTCCAAAATTTGATTTATCATTTGTTCTCTTTGCTTGCATTCTTGAATATCATCATTGTTAATCATATTTGATGACCAACAATATTCAAAAATTTTTTTTAAAAATTTAATATCATATAATAATTGTATAGCACTTTTTTCAGAAACATTTGTGAATTGATTTGTATCAGAAACAAACTGAATGTACAATTCAACAATTTTGAGAAATATTTGTGTATAAAGATCTTTTATTACATTCTTTATAATGAGAAATTATATTGTTAAAAAACTAAGCATTGGAATAAATGTAAAACAACTTTAGGTTTTAATATAAAAAATCTTTATACATACCTCATGCAATGTTGGACTGCCAACACGATTTATTTCTCGACAAACATCAAATAAGCACTTCATAATTATGTTTGATGGTTGTGAAGGCAGCTTCATTTTATTACCTTCCTGACCCTGCTCCGCATCTTGCATAGTTACTTCTATATAAAAACATATAATTAAATTCTTTTTTGAAATTATTCTTTTGACAAAAATTTAAAAGATATTAAGGACGATATGGAATCAGTATTTAGTTCATCAGAGAACCATATTAATGAT